GGCGGCGATCTCGTCGGCCGTGATGAACGGCGAGGGCTTGTGCTTTTTGGGGGCTGGACCATTGGGTTCGGATTCGGGTTGGGGCTTGGATTGACCGTTTTCGTTGTGAGGATCCATCAGATTAGGGTTTTGGTTTGGTGAGGGAAGAGGGAGACGAGGCGTACTCACGTGACTACGACATCAGGGGGTTTGGGTTTTGCGCTCCTTGGTGTCACTGAAGCGGCTTAAAATAAGAGTAAATTTCACTAAAACCCTCAAACTTTGAGGTTCTTAGCGAGAGGTAGCAGCTTTCATTTAGTGCATGTTTGGTTATTTCCTAAAAAACCAAGAAATAGAAATGAAAACCAAAAAAACTCAAAAAGTACAATCTTATCCATTTTCATCCTTAAAACTCACCCACAACATCTAATAAAATATTATTTTTATCCAACAACTCATCCACCACATCTAATAAAATATTATTTTCATCCAACAACTCATCCACCACATCCACAACATCTAATAAAATATTATTTTCATCCAACAACTCATCCACCACATCTAATAAAATATTATTTTCATCCACAACATCACTCAACTTATCTCATCTCATCATTTCAAATCACTCACATCATCCAATAAGATTGTGACAACTCATATCATCTCATTAACATTTCATTTCCACTCATTTCCTCCCAAAAAACTAGAAAAACAATTTTCTTAAGGGTCCATTTGGTTGCTAAAAAGAGGAGTTGAAATGATCAGAAAGTCTATCAAAACTGACAAAAACTGTCAGTTTTGGCAGGCTTCCTTGCAAAAACTCCCCAAAAATGACGTTTTTGCAAGATAGTCTGTCAAAACTGACAATTTTTGTCAGTTTTAGCAGGCTTTCCCAAACCCTCTTCAACAACCAAACGGGCCCTAAATGTGGGTCACATCATCCAATAATATAATGACAACTCATCTCATCTCATCTATTTTCTTATTTTTAAGAATGAACCAAACAAAAGAAAACAACATATTACAATAAATAGGTTTCTTATAATTCATTTCCTTATTTTTTTTTCACCAACCAAACAACATCAAAACAAGTTTTCTTAAAAAATCATTCACATCATCCTATAATAAGGTGACAACTCATCTCATCTCTGTTAGTCTAAAGTGTAGACCCAAAGTCGAAGCCGAAGCTGGAATCAAGAAGACGAAGAAAAAGTCGAGAAAACAGAAGGAGGCCTGCACGATCGACCGCGGCGGTCGACCGTGAACGTGCACAGAGCTGGTTAGAGCCTGGAGCTGAAGGCGGTCGACCGCGATAGTCGACCGCACAAATCTCTATAATGGATTTTGGTCTCGGGTTTTGGTTCGGTCGACCGTCGCGGTCGACCGTGGATACCCTGTAGGATTTTTGGGCTCTGTAGTTTGATACGGTCGACCGCCGCGGTCGATCGCGATACCTGTGCGGTCGACCGTGATACCTACGCGGTCGACTGCCACGGTCGACCGCGACGCAGTCAGCCAGTTTCCTTATCTGTTTTGGATTATGTTTCTTCCAGGACTCTATATATACCTAAACGTTTTTAGGGCTTGATAGAACACAAAAAAGAGAATTTTTTAACTGTAGAAAAGAGAGAATCTCAGAGAGATAAAACCCTAGTTTGAGAGCTTGTATTTCTTCTTCAATTAATAAGAAAATTGTGTGGTGTGGCTTCCGAGGACGTAGGCACGTTTGCTGAACCTCGTTAAATCTGGTGTGTTCATCTCCTTTACTCTTTTACAAGCTTTGATCTAATTTGTGGTGAATTTCCTACTTTCCTACTTTCAACACAAGGTCCGGAAGGGCAAGGGTTCGATTGATTGTTTCGAATCCCCAATAACTGGTATCAGAGCTTCGTTCGGCAATTTGAGTGAAAGCCATGACAGAGGAAAATAAATCAAAGATCGAGAAGTTTGACGGTTCAGACTTCGCCTACTGGAAGTCACAGATGGATGACTATTTGTACCAGAAAGACTTGTATCACCCATTGATGGGTAAGGAGAAGGGACAAAAGAAAGAGTAGTCAGATGATAATTGAGAGATACTGGATAGGAAGGCTCTAGGGCAAATCCGGTTATCGTTCGCCAAATCAGTAGCCCACAACATATTAAAGGAGAAGACAACGGTAGGGCTTACGGAAGCGCTCGCGAAGATGTACGAGCAACCGTCGACAGCAAACAATGTGCATCTCGTCAAAACTCTTTTTAACCTCAAGATGGCAGAAGGATGGTCCTTCACGATGCACCTTAGCAAGTTTAACACGATTGTTGATGAGCTTATCTCCGTAGACATCACGTTTAATGACGAAGTGCAGGCCTTATTGTTACTATCATAGTTGCTGGATAGTTGGGCAGGTTGTGTGACGGCAATCAACAATTCAGTGGGGAAGGAAAAGTTAAAGCTGAGTGAGGTGGTTAGCATGATTCTATTTGAGGAGGTTAGAAGGAAATCGTCCGAATCAGAAGGTTCAGGTTCAGCTCTAAGTTTTAAGCAGAGAGGCAGAAGCCAAAAGAAAGAAAACCAGAACAGTAATCGGTCAAAATCAGTAAAGAAGAGGTCGAACTCGAAGGTTAGGCCTATCAAAGAGAAGTATTGGAACTGTGACTAGGAGGGCCATATATCTTCAGTCTGCAAGAGTCCAAAGAAGGATGTTGGTGAGCAGCAGGCTCATATCGTGCAGGATGCCTTGATTCTTGCTATGGATAGCCACTCGGATTCTTAGGTCATCGACTCAGGATCCTCTTTCCACGCCACTGCTAACAGAAAGCTTCTTCAGAATTATATAGCAGGGGACTTTGAAAAAGTGTATTTGGGGAATAACGAGCCATGTAATATTTTTTAGAAAGGGTGAAGTGCAGATTCAGATGAAGGACTCTAAGTAGATCTTGAAGAACGTGAGACACGTGCCGAAGCTAAAGAGGAATCTTGTTTCGGTGGGATAGCTTGGAGCAGAAGGCTATGTTTCGACATTCACAGGGGATTCGTGGGGAATCTCCAACGGTACGATGATAGTTGCTCGAGGCAACAAACTCGGGACTCTCTACCTCACCTTACATGCGAGTGACACCCTCGTAATTGCAGGTGGTAAAGAGAGTATAGATCTGTGGCACAATAGGTTAGGGCACATGAGCGAGAAGGGGATGAAGATCTTACATTCACAGGGAAAACTGATCGGGATCGACTCCGTGGAAGTCGGGGTTTGTAAAGACTACATCTTTGGGAAGCAGAAGAGGGTTAGTTTCCAGAAGGATGGAAGGCTGCCTAAGGCTCAGAAGCTAGAGTTGATTTATACAGATGTATGGGGTCCAGCCAGTGTGTCTTCTTTTGGTGTTTCGAGATATTATGTTCCCTTTATCGACGATCACTCGAGGAAGGTGTGGGTCTACTTCATGAAGCACAAGACAGAGGTGTTCGGAGTCTTCAAGAAGTGGAAGGTTATGGTGGAGAACGAGATAGATCTGAAGATGAAGTGTCTGAGATCAGACAATGATGGAGAATATAAACTAGAGGAGTTCAAGAGGTTCTGTACTACAAATGGGATTCGATTAGAGAGGACTACTCCAGGGATGCCGCAGCAGAACGGCATTGCAGAGAGGATGAACAGAACCTTGACAGAGCGTGCCAGGAGCATGCGATTACATGCAGGTCTAGTTAAGATATTTTGGACGGATACAGTGCATACGGCATCTTATCTTATTAATCACGGCCCTTCAGTTCCATTAGATTTTAGAATTCCAGAGGAGGTTTGGAGTGGCAAGAAGGTCAATCTCTCACACTTGCGGGTATTTGATTGTGTGGCTTATGTTCATATCAGTGACCACGTCAGGGACAAGCTAGAGGCTAAGTCACAAAAGTGCACATTTATTGGATACGACATTGATGAGTTCGGGTATCATCTTTGGGATGAGAAGAACAGGAAGATCATCAGAAGCAGGGACGTGATATTCAATTAGGAGGTGATGTATAAGAACAAGGAAAATGCCAATGATAGCCAAAGCAGTGGGAGCAGCACTTCGGATGTAGGTGGATACGAGTACATGGATATAAAGGAACTTCCAGATATGGGTGATGATGTTTGTTCTGACCATAGAACGAAGGAGGCTCCAGGTGTAGAAGAAACTACCCAGAGCATGGAGCTTAGGAGGTCATCCAGGGTACTCAAACCAAATCCCAGATATCTTTCATCTCTTGACTACTTATTATTGACAGATAGCGGTGAGCCGGAGTACTATGAAGAGGCAATTCAAGTGAGTGAATCTCAGTAGTGGGAGCATGCGATGCAGGAGGAGATGGATTCTCTACTCACTAATGAGACATGGAAGTTAGCCCAGCTACCTGCACAGAAGAAGACCTTACATAATAAATAGGTCTACCGGGTCAAGCAAGAGAGTGATGGAAGTAAGAGATTCAAGGCCGGATTAGTAGTGAAGGGGTTTCAACAGTGGGAAGGAGTGAACTACACAGAGATATTTTCCCCTGTTCTGAAGCTCACAACCATCAGAGTGGTGTTGAGTTTGGTAGCTACAGAAGATCTCTTTCTTCAGCAGTTAGATGTGAAGACTGTCTTTCTTCATGGTGACTTGGATAAAAAAATCTACATGAAGCAGCATGTTGGCTTCATTGAAGAAGGAAAAGAAGAGATGGTGTGCAAGCTCAAGAAGAGCTTATATGGCTTGAAACAGGCTTCGACACAGTTGTATAAGAAGTTTGATAATTTCATGCAAAACAATGGCTACAGAAGATGCAATTCGAATCATTGCTGTTATTTTAAAAGGTTCGAGTCCAGCTTCATTATCTTGTTATTATATGTTGATGACATGTTGGTAGCAGGAACATGTTTAAAAGATATAAACAGTTTGAAGAAGCAGCTAGCAAAAGAATTTGCAATGAAGAATCTGGGTGCAGTAAAGCAAATTCTAGGGATGCGAATCAGTAGGGATGAAACTGAAGGGACGTTGAGATTGAGTCAAGCTAAATACATTGAGAAGGTACTTCAGAGGTTTAATATGCAGGATGCTAAAGTTGTTAGCACGCCCCTTGGAAGTTGGTTCAAGTTATCTGAGGAGCAATCGCCTAAGACAGATGCAGATAGAGAGCATATGAGCAGGGTATCATATTCTTCGGTCATTGGGAGTCTTATGTACGCGATGGTTTGCACGTGGCCGGACATCGCCCGTGCAGTGAAAGTTGTGAGCAGGTTTGCAAGCAATTCAGGGAAGTAGCATTAAGAGGGCGTGAAGTGGATAATGCGGTATTTAAGGGGAATAACGAACAAGCCACTATGTTTCAGGAAGAAGGAGTTGGTGCTGCAGGGATACGTGGATGCGGACTTTGCTGGTGATCATGATACTAGGTGAAGCACCACGGGATATGTTTATACCTTAGTGTCGACAGCAGTGAGCTGGGTCTCACGTCTGCAAAAGATTGTGACTTTGTCTACAACCGAGGCTGAGTATGTCGCGGTGACTGAAGCAAGCAAGGAGATGATCTGGTTGAACGGGTATTTGGAAGAGTTGGATCTAAAGCAAGGGAGAGGAGTTATTTATTGTGATAGCCAGAGCGCTATACATCTTGCCAAGAATCCAGTATATCATGCCAGAACGAAGCAAATCGATGTAAAATACCATTTTATACGCTCGCTAGTTGAAGACAAAAAATTATATTTGATAAAGATTTTGGGGAGTCAAAATCTGGCGGACATGTTGACGAAGGCAGTCACCATTGAGAAACTGGAGTTGTGCGCAACTTCAATTGGCCTTCACGAGTAGAAGACGAAGGCGGAGCCACACTACGAGGATCGGCGAGATCCCCGGGATATTGTTGATTAAAGAAATGTTTTTCCGGGGAGGAGAAGATACATGCGAAGAAGGGGAGAGTTCGGTTGAGCTCGTTGATGGCACTTTGGTTTCCAAGTGGGAGATTGTTAGTCCAAAGTATAGACCCAAAAGTCGAAACCGAAGCTGGAATCAAGAAGACGAAGAAAAAATCGAGAAAACAGAAGGAGGCTTGCACGGTCGACCGCGGTGGTCGACCGCGAACGTGCACAGAGCTGGTTAGAGCCTGGAGCTGAAGGCGATCGACCACGACGGTCGACCGCACCAATCTCTGTAATAGTAATATTTGGTCTCGAAAGGGTTTTGGTTATGGCGATGCAATACACCACGTCGGTAGTCGGATCCGTGTATAGATACCGTTACTGTAGGAATTTTTGGGCTCTAGGTGCGTTTGATCGATGAGACTACCGCGGTCGACCGTGATACCGGCCCAGTCGACCGCCACGATCGACCGCGACGCAGTCAGCCAGTTTCCTTATCTGTTTTGGATTCTGTTTCTTCCAGGACTCTATATATACCTAAACGTTTTTAGGGCTTGATAGAACACAAAAAAAGTGAATTTTTTGACTGTAGAAAAGAGAGAGAATCTCAGAAAGATAAAACCCTAGTTTGAGAGCTTGTATTTCTTCTTCAATTAATAAGAGAATTATGTGGTGTGGCTCCCGAGGACGTAGGCACGTTTGCCGAACCTCGTTAAATCTGGTGTGTTCATCTCATTTGTGGTGTGGCTCCCGAGGACGTAGGCACGTTTGCCGAACCTCGTTAAATCTGGTGTGTTCATCTCATTTACTCTTTTACAAGCTTTGATCTAATTTGTGGTGAATTTCCTACTTTCCTACTTTCAACACAATGTCCGGAAGGGAAAGGGTTCGATTAATTGTTTCGAATCCCCAACAATCTCATCTCAATTTCTTTGATTTCCTTCTTTTTTTAGCAAACCAAACATTCCCAAAACAATTTTTCTTAGAAATAGTTTTTCATTTCTTTGATTTCCCACTTTTTCTAGGCAAACAAACAGACCCTAGGATAAATTATATTCCGATGCCACGCAGAACAATGTAATTGCACTTCTGAGACAGAGATTTTTATATCTACATAAATAAATGATCCTGAGGTTAGTAACTTATTCACTGCTGGCCGAACTCTAATGGTCACTTCACACCATTTTTTTTAACGTGGCTACTAACAAAATAATATGGAAATTCCTAAAATCCCCTTTTCCATTCAAGGACCATGCAGTACAGTTAATTACACCCATGATTCTAGAGTCTACATATCCACACAGATAACTCTAACTAATTTAACATTGCTTTTTCTTTTACTTTTTTAAAATAACAACCAATTGCAGAAGAAATGCTCAAATAAGGCACTAAAAAACCACAAAACTAAGCATAAAAGAACTCATGCTTGTTAGCGTGAAGAAATGAACGATGGATAAGAAATCAGCAGAACTTCATATTAATATCGAATCCAACACTATATCTATTGAAAAAAAATCAAAATTGCTATGTATGAAGAAAAATCAAAATTGCTGTGTAAGGTAAAGATATTTTCTAGGATGTTTAGGGCCAGTTTGGTTCAATAGAGGGTAGGAATAGGATTAGGAATCCTATTTTATTTATGGATTCTAACCTAATCCATAAAAAATTTATAGACAAGTTTTAGTTTTATGGAATCCCATTTTTTTTGTATTCCATGTTTGTTTCACCCAAAGGATTAGGAATAGGATTAGGAATCAGAATAAAAAAGAGGAGAGGTGTCAGAAATTCCACCCAATTCCTAACAAATGGACTGGATTTGGATTTCCTAAAATATACACTATTTGAGCCACTTTATAGATTAGCAATTCTATAAAAAAATTTTGAACCAAACTCAGGATTAAGATTCATTTGGAATCCATTAATTACGAAAACGTCATTGTCAGGTCCAAATACTATTCCTATTCCATAAAATTGGTGAAACAAACAGGCTTATGCTACAGAAGGTTAGGATTTAGGTGTGCAGTATCTCCAAAAATGTACGTTTGGGTAGGATTCATGTTTGGATTTAGGTGTACTAATAAGAGCAATTGCAGACTATATTCTTATTATTTACTGCCGATTTGTTATTTCACATAAATAGTGGCATTTCAATCGTAGGAAACCTAATTATGAGCCAAATTTTGAAAATTGAATCTGAAACCTCCTTTGTAGGAGGAATGTTACAAGCAGGCTCAGGATAAAGAAAACTATGAATCATAGATTCGAATGTATTTCTGAAAGGAGAAGGAACGAGAGAAGGACATCCACAAAACCATTCCCTGCTTCAGCAAACACAACCATCTTTGTGATCTTGTTCTCAACAGGTTTCACACTTATAATTTTGGTTTCATAACTTCATTCTCGACTTCTGATTTGATTTAGTAGTCTAGAATCATATTTTGCTTCTTTGGCAATGTTTACTTTTTCTTTCTTCTGCAAGAAAACGTCTGTAAGCGGTGTCTTTGACAGCAATAGACTCTTCAATAATCCTTTCCTCAAGGATATTAGCATCTTTGATACCTAGCTTTCGAAGCAAAGAGATGGCAGTTGCGACAGTAGAAGATGTTACATGCAAATCATCTTTAATAGCATATGTTCCTTCTTCTTTCAGAAATACATCATTCTTTGCATTGTTATCCCCTCATGTCCACTGAAAACTTTCATCCATTACCCTTCCATAGAGACAAAGAGCACCACAATGTCGCGCGCCTATGCAGAAGCGTGCACGCCCACACCGAACGAGTCTGAGATCACAAGAAGAAGATGGACCACACACAAGCACAATCCAATCCAAATACGACAAATCCAACCAAACACAGAGATATACGTGGTT